GTTTTATATCTTGACTCTTGACCCTCCCCCACCTGTCACCTTGTTTCCTATCCATTCAGGAGTTTACATTACTGATGCTTAGCAAGCTATTCTAGGTGGCTGCCACTGTTTATTAAATTGACCTGGATTTTTTTTTAGGTTGAACCTGCTGTTGTCCCTGCTATCCCACCTACAATCTCTGATGTCACACGAACTGCCACGCCTCCAAACCCCATGGAGGATCAAGCAGCTGCTGTGGTACCACTAAATCAGCAGATACAGACAATACACATCATTCCACAGTTTGTAAGTTCCACTTTAAGACTTGGGTGTCACTTTGTTTAATCAACAGTAGGCTGGGCAATTAATCAAAGCTAAAATTTTGAAACAAAATTGAATGTATCTTGTGTATGTTGATTGATCAAGATGCTTTTTTTTTTCTTCTTAAATTAGCAAATCCACCTGGATAAAAACTAGTAATTTTCTTATCAGCTAAATTCATTTGATTAGCACCTTAAACACTTTTATATTTTGCTGTACAAATAGTAGTGCTTGAAAAGAGTGAAACACATTGTGATGCGATGTGAGCTAACTGTTCATTATTTGAAATCAAGGCAAAGGTTTGAAATAATGGTGATATCGATTTGAATTCGTATCACCTTTCACTTCATAAAGTAAGAGATCTGCAATGTTGTCTCTTGTGTAAATTTTCTCAGGATGTCCGGCAGATTCTTACAGGCTTACATGATGGCAAGGAAATTGTTGAGAGCCTTGATGAAGATAATGTCATCACAACTAGTCAGAGACGTCTCCTCGTCCGTATCTTGGTGTCGTACCTCGTTGAGAAGTTTGGAGAGAAGTAATTAATTTTTTTATATTTAGAATAGGGTTTCTGTTAATTCAATTTCAAAATGGGAATGTTGACGTATTTAATATATTTCAACATAAGTAACAAGTACAACATGTACTTTCATTTTACTTAAATTAAAAAAGCCTTTTCTGTTTTACTGTCCTACATCAGAAACCAAAAAGGCACTGGCTTTGGGTTTGGTTCAGTCATTTGCCTGTTTGAAAGACTCATCAAGCAGTGGCAGCGTGAGTGTTTTTTGAAAAATGTCATTGAGATATTTATTTGGGTTGTTTGTTTTTTTTTTTTTTTCAAGGTTGCAATTCGATTCTCAATTTCAACTTTACTTAGTTAACTAGAGTCAGCCGAGGGCTCTACAACAGGCCCCCTTCTGTTTTTGCTAGATTTCCAATTTAGATCTCCTGTTTCTGGCGAATCATCACCAAATAATAGACACTAGGGTTCGTACATGTGAAAATTATTGTCCCGCAGGAATTTGAGGCTTTAAATTTGTCTGGAAGTCACAACCTCAATGCACTGTTTTTGGCAACGGAGCGTGGAGCAGCATACATTGAGCGTAAAAGCTAAATCCGTCAGTTAACAGACAAAATACAGCTCACTCCTCCTTGAAACATATCTGTGCTGTTATGCACTAAGCAGCAGGAACAATAATTGATCTACTTCTCTGAGGACAGACAGACGTACAGACAAACCCTGTTCTAACCGTAGCCCATGCTGTCAGTCAAACGTGCCTCATCTCTATTCATTAAAGATTTTGATTTCTTGGCAGGAAATATGGTACACCCCAGGACAGAGCCACCGGCCAGCCACTGGATTCCTAGAGGAAAGGCTGCGGAACATCAGGAAGCGGCTGAGATCAACCAGCAGGTCGCGGAGCACGGCACAGACGACATCACCACAAACGCCAGATGATGATGCTGCTCTTGCAAGGCCTCTCATACCAGGTAATTATTAAAATATATATTTGATGAAGCAAAACATCCATATTTCAGTGACTGACAACTTTGTTGTTCTTTATAGAATGTACCATATCAGACGAACGTGCGTCACAGTTTAAAGAATGGTTGAGAAACAATTCTCAGCCCCTCAGCCAGGTAGAGACCTATATGGAAAACACGGCAGTCTACAGGGAAAAGTGGATCAGAGAAAACAGTTGGACTATTGATCAAATCCTTGAAGAGTTCCCTCGCCTAATGACCAAAGGCATGGTAGGTATAGGGAAAAATGATCTTTCATTTGAGGATACATTGTTTATAATGTTTTATAAGTGTGCCACATTGAATTGGAATTAAAAAATGTGTCTTCCATTTTATAGATTGCACAGGACTTTCTTGTGCTACATGGGGAAGCTGCATCCAAGCTTTTTGAAACTTGGCTGACCATTTATGCAGAGAAGGTCCTGTACCTGGCAAGGCAGGAGGGGAATCTAACATTGCCCCTGGATGGTTTAACACCACTATTGTCAGCAGATCTTGTAAATGCGCAGGGAATGCTATGGAAAATGCTGGATATTTATGCGACGAAATTGCTGGTATTATGAAATCAAAGGTATGCTATTTCACATCGTATTGACACCTATGTCTTCCTACAGATGGCGTTGGGGAACTTGCCCTGAGGCAGCTGCCAGGATTACTCCCCCCCACAACATACAAAGTTGGCCGTGGCCGCGGTGCGAAAGTGGTACGCCACACCAATTTTGAATGCAGCTTGGCCTTCATCGATCATAAGGCTGTGAGTCCTCGAAGCACAAGTTTCTGAAGAGAAAACTTTATTCATTTTATCAATATATCTCCGCTCAAGACTGCACGCACACATGCATATTCAGGTTTTATTATACTTTTGGGTACAGGCATCAAATATAGCCAGACAGTATTTGGAAAATAGCGGTTCTACAAGCTTAGAACTTGCTGAACTAAGTTGGTCAGTATCAAAGCATCCTGGGCTTCTAGAACACCAGTGCCACTGATTACCTCTGTACAGCACTGCACTGATGTTCTAAAACAGTCACCGACTAAGTATTGATTTCCGAAATGAACACATTTATCAGAAAGTTTACACAAAAGTTGAGCCGCACGCATTTTCTGTGAATGTTTATTTTAATGATAGATCATCAATGAATTTATGACTTTTTAAGTCATTTGAAGTCTGAATCCTTTAGTTATTTTCTGTAATGTGAGCTATATGCTCTAACACTTGATCAATAAAGGTTTGGAATATTTCGTTATGCAATGAAATGTAGACTATTACAGTTACAATTTTTTTTTTACTGTAGTAGTCGGTAGACATTTGGTCCTTACTCGCACTCTTGTATATCTCACTTTCGTATTTTCCTTTTTTAGCCTGGAATAAACATGGTCGAGTACCTCCATGAGGCCAAGGCGTCCAAGCCATACCCCCACGTCCTGACGCTGGGGAATGACGGGAGTGCATCTCAGGCATTCGTAATAATATCTGGACAGGCCCTGGAGCAAGAAACACTGCTTCAGGCCATTGATGTCTGTTTTAAGGCATTTTTTGTCTTTGACGTTGAATACCCAAAACAATGTGAGCATGTGTGGAAATTCATGCAAAATGTGATCTATGAAATTCCAGGAGGGGAGTCAAAAATGGTTACGTTTTTTAAAACTAGAATACTTGCTTGCAAGTAGCTTAATAGCAGCTTTTAGGAATTTTAATTTGTTCAAAATAGAGCTGCTGAGTGTTGGCCTGTCGAGTGTTTAACCAGTTTAATCAAAATTCTGGATGTGTTTCAACCTGAGAGAACTGCACCAGTTCCAGGATATATATTGTCGATATTAATGTAATAAATTTTCAAAGATTCCATTGTTTTGTTTTTTGTATTGTTTAAGTGTTTATTGCATAATATATTATATACCTAAATCTCGCATGTATTCTGTCCTAGGTTTGAAGTTTAAGAGTTTTAAATGGGTAGTCAATTGCAATTTATTTTCTAAATTGTACTGAATGTGTTAGACTTAATCTGGCATATGGGTTAATTTTACACATATGTAGTTAAATCAACCCATAATTGTAATTAATTTGACCCAGCATTTGGGTACATTATATAACTAATATGTAGTTAAATCAACCCATAATTGTAATTAATTTGACCCAGCATTTGGGTGGAATATTTAACTCAATCTGTTGGGTTAAATATCACTGACCCATCTTGCTGGGTCAAACTAACTACTGCTGGTCTGGTGCAATATTGATCCAGTGGTTGGGTTATAAAACAACCCAAGTTGGGTTATTTTTAACCCATCATTTTTAAGAGTGATATGTTTTCTTGAATCCTAGCCTTATTGTCCTCTGCATAGTCTCTCTCACACACACTAGGCTTCTCCTATTTCTCACACACACAACCGAGACACAGCAGGAGCAGCTCTCCACACACACACAATAGCTATCCAGTCAACAAGAATGCATTTCTTCACACTGTTTATACAGCATGCTTCCGCCGCACCCTTTTCCTTTATTATTTTCCTTCCTAAATTTATGCTACCTCGAGTTTGCAGATATTTAATGAGAGGCCACTTCGGACATAGTTCGTCAACACATGTATCGAGAGGTAACTTACAATTAAATTTTCTTCTACAAGCTCCCAGTTCCTTTGAACGGACCCGAAAATTCACCTAGTTCCTTTCCAGGATTTGCGGCCCATCTAAGATCACCTTTCAAGGGCTTTTTGTCCAGATCTGCGGCGTCCTAATCCTTATATTTTCTTCCTTATCCTTATTAATTTGTATTCAAGCCGAATGACCCTGGCCAGGGTTGCACTCTCTCTCTTTTTCCCTTACTCCAATTTACCTATTCCTTAAAGCCTAGTTTCACGCGACAGTAATTTCCATCCCACATGACTTACGGTTATAAGAATCTGAGGGCCCATATTCTTAATCTTTGCAAAGTTATGAAACCTCACTTCCCGTTACTCCTAGGCTGTTCCTTTTTCTTCCTTTTATATCCATCTATCTGTCTTCATTACATTCACACACACACAACCTTTTTGCGTTATCCACAACGCACACACAATTTAGAACGGAGTCTTCTCACACATCCACCCGCAAGCATTCACACGGGATCGAACCGGTGTACCCTTTAACGCACACACAGACACACGAACTGACCAGCGCCCACAGTTTATGAGAAAACTCACCCTATACGCCAGCGTCTGGAGCGCGAGTCAGCTCGATGGAGCCTGTGATGGAACGATGAATTCAGGCACAACACGGTCCCTTCGTGGTCGCCAATTTCTGTGGTGTCCGAACGATAATGCTGCGATGATGTGTTGAGAAGAAATCCGCTTGACACTGTTCTTGGTTATAAAGTTTATTACATCAGAGAATTCAGCATCAATTACAAGCTCTGCAGCAGCTTGGAGAGTGACCCAGCCCGATGGCCACTCTGTCTCTCTGTACATCGAACACAGCTTATATAGGACATGTTTAGGTCTCTGCTAAAGACCATATAAGGGCACAGTGCTGTAGAATAAGTGTAAACATCTGTTAGACACCACAGAAGGGTACAGTCCCTTCATACACACTAATCTCTACTCCCCCTAACACTGGGTCAGATGTCAAATTCCATAGGAGGGTTCACTCTTTGCACACCCATCAATCATTACTTCCCCATAAGGGTTCACTGTCCCTCTCCCCAGCTGCAGAATATTATGTTAAACTGTAATGGTCAAATGCACATATGTTATACACCACAACCTTTTCTCTAATTTAATTTTAAGTTAAAGGAAACTTTCATATAAAACAACAAACATTGTTTTTGCATTTAAAGCAACTATAATGCATTTTTTATAATAATGTGAAAACAATGGAATAATGTGTCGGTGTCTCTGAATTATCAGCTGAATCTGCAACTTCTCTGCTTTATGGAACTTTATCGGGACTTTCAGCAGATAGAAACAAACAGCAGATAGACACAGTTAGAGAGCATCTGGTGAACACAGTGCAGCATTTAGCAGCGATAGAGCCAGATATTTCCCTCAGGAGCTGCTGGAGACCGAACACAGAGCTATCAGAGACAAACATGACTCCACATGAAGCATCATGTTACTCTGTAGCTGCTGGAGGTGGAAATAAGCTGCTGTTTGATCACAAGTTCTATATATCAACTTAAGGATGAAACTTATTTCACAACATACATCACTCTGCAATCACTGGACATGGCTGCACAAGTTGCTTTCCATGTGCCTCTCCTCTCATCCCACACCGCAGTCCGACCACTCTAAAAAAAGCTCAGCTTCTGCTCAAATCACTCAAATAATTAGCCAACTAATAACAACAACAAATGCAGCAATATACATTTACAGTTACAACCGCTGACTTACTTTTGTTGTTTTCGCTGTTTTCAGTCCAAAAACTGCTGATATTCTGTGTTAATAGAGCCCTACGCCGCGTGCCGCCATCTTGGTGAGGTCCGTGAGCTGCTAAATTTCGTTTCTCTCGTCAAATTGAAGGAGAGCAGAAGAGTTGCTTTGGGGGAGGCGGTCTTTATTGGCCTCTACTGGCCGACCCGTAGGAGCTACACAGACATGCAGTATACCAATCCACTTGTCTCTTCAATACAAAGAGAAAGAGCCCATTTACTTGCCCTGTTCTGTTTTCAACTTGTGCACCTGTAAAGCATGGGAGTTCTTTCGGTCATAGGAATGTTGATCAATATTCACTGTTTTTATCAGTATTGCAGTGTTTTAGAAGCTTTATGTTATTTGGAACGTGGTTGTCTGGAGAGAAATAGTGTTTTGAAGAAAATTCCCAATAAAAGTGAACATATAAACAGTAATATGGCCAAAACATATTATTATAACTGGTATATTTTTAAAAAATTGTGTAATTACTGTTGCATATTAGTTTCTTTTCATCAAATATTAGAAGATATTCAGTTGCATTATAATGAGTTGGATGATGATTTTGATGGTTTATTGCATAAAAAATATATCTTTTTTACCAGGCGGGGATGAAAATAGATTTTCCTATATTGCATCTCCATTTATTCTTTAATAGAAAAATAAATAGGTTCAGTTGATTCATATTCCTCTGACCTTTCAAAGGAGACCAGAATTATGCACCATACCTAATGGTTGAGGAGTTATTACTGATTTACTTTGGGTATGTTATTTGCGTTTTTTGTGGAAATAGGTGGCAGGTACCATGTGGTTAAATATAATTGTCCTCTCACAGGATCAGTGGGTTAGCCAGCTAACTTTTGGGTAACTCGGTTAACTCTGTTTTTCCAGTCTCACAAAGACAGATGAGTTCACACTTTGAGTTCAGTTGAGCTGTCACTTTATCCTGACAGTAGTAGCAGTACTTACATCAGGCTCCTCTAATGCCGTTTGCAAGAATCCACCGCTTCCTAAACAAAACAGCCAATTCAGGAGGAGTCTGTAGCACACTGTCAATCACTGCTTGTGACCCCCTCCAAACATGCATCTTTAGCAAACACAATGTCTGAGAAACAACAAGCAGCAATGAAAGGCCTGCCCGTCCCTCCTTTGCAAATAACAACGCAGTACAAAACACTGTTTGATCACTTCCTGGCTCCACACAGAGCTTCGGGCTCACAATGTCTGATGCCATGGCGCTGGTAATAATAGCTTGGGGAATAACTTTTGAGGGGGGGCAGTGGTAAACTAGCTCTTATCCCGTTAGACATTGGATAGCTGCCTCTAGTAGCCTGCGACACTCTGCCCTGGGCCGGAGGGGGCATCTTTGAGGAGAATCAAAGCAAAATGGAACATGGTCCCCAGTTAGTTTTGTGAGTTTGGTGGGCGGGGCTTAGCAGACTGATGCGAGGAACGTTTTGCATTGTATGTTCAATTGTTATCGACTGCTGCTTTAAATCAGAACACCTACCTGTTTGGTTTCAGTACATTTCAGGCAGTTGGAAGTTGTTTCTGCAGCTGCAGACTGAAGTCCCAACAACGGAGCCTGAAGGCTGATTCACATCATCAGTTGAGTTCTAACAGCAGCACGGAAGGGATTCTACTGATCGCCAAAGAGACAAAGAGAAAAGGCTTTTAGAGGTAACTGACGTGTTTCACTGTTTGTGCAGATAATGATTGCTATAGATGCTGGAGTGTAAGGCAAGGCAGGCAAGTTTATTTGTATAACACATTTTAACAACAAGGTAATTCAAAGTGCTTTACATAAAACATAAAGAAACAGGGAAATATAAAAAAGTTTAAAAGCAACATAAAATATAATAAAAGTTACAGTGTTACAATCAGGGTTAAAAGAGTTAAATGGAAAAAAGCAATGATTAAAAGCTAAAAACAAAGAAAAAGAAAACAGGACAGTAAAAGTTACAGTGCAGTGTAAAAGAAAAGTCTTCAGTCTTAATTTACTGTTTCAGCAGACCTGCAGTTATCTGGGAGTTTGTTCCAGATATACGGAGCATAATAACTGAACGCTGCTTCTCCTTGTTTAGTTTTGACTCTGGGGACAGAAAGCAGACCTGATCCCAGACGACCTGAGAGGTCTGGATGGTTCATAACGAAGCAGAAGATCAGAAATGTATTTTGGCCCTAAACCATTTAGTGCTTTATAAACTAACAGCAGGATTTTGAAATAAATTCTTTGACATACAGGAAGCCAATGTAAAGATCCTGTAGATATTTAGAAAAATAGCTCGAAAAGAGGAATTCAGCTGAAGAGCCACATATTCAAAGAAGCAAAATTCCCATATGACATCTTTTTGCATTGGAGGGAGTCATTAAACTAAATGGCAGCTCCACCTCCTCTCTTATGCACTCTAGCTTCACTCATGAAACTGAAGTTGGGAGGGGTAGACTCGATAAGGACAGCTGCACTGTTATCTTGGTCCAACCAAGTTTCAGTTAAAAACATGAAATTAAGATTGTGAGTTATTATAAAATCATTGATTTAAAATGTTTTTCCTGCCAAAGACCTAACGTTTAACAAAGCTAATTTTATTGTGTTAAAAACGTTATCTGGCCCACTTTTTTCGACAGGCTGCGGCTGACGAGGAATTAATACTAAATGTGCAGGATATGTTGAGTGCTTCCTGTTTCTTAACACATTCACCATGCTTTTTCTGTTACCTGTCAAGACAGGGATGGAGACGACTACCTGCACATTGGGCCCCGGCTTGTCCTGGGAAGAGTCATGAGTGCTATTTTCCTTGTAGCCTGGACCCAGCACATATCAGACAGAGCTTACTGGGCTTTTTCGCCATTGTGGAGCGGGAGGACGGGTGGGCGCTGTACTTTTGACAGATGTGTCAAACCTGGAGGACTTAGAACCAGAGGTGGAGGTGGACGGTGAGGGGGGTTTAGGGTAGAGAAAATGGGAGTGGAGTGAGGGAAGGAGCGGGGAGTAAATTTGGTCCCAGCTCTAACCAGGTCTTCCATGTGATCAGTGAAGTCCAACAGGGGGGAGAGGAGAGAAAGTGTGTCTGAAGGTGGGGATTGGGGGGGTAGAGATGTTGAATCCTCACTGTCGGTTTTCAGTGAGGGAGGTGGAGACTCTTCCCCTTGGCTCAGATGTCTCCCGTGATCAGAGCTCTCTTCCGGCGGGGGCTGAGGTGGCTCTCCTTCAAGGTTTCTGGCGTGTTGTGTTATGTCTTCTTCTTGTTTAGATTCCTCTTGTCTCTTGTCCTTGGCAGAGGGAACAGATGAGTGATGCAGAAAGTAAAACAGGTTGGAGCTGAACAATTTTACTCCTGACTTGTTAAGGCAAAGTCCATCTGCCTTAAAAAGATGCCTGCGGTCCCACAGAAAGTGAAAGTTTTCGATGAAATGCACTGAATGGACAGTACATGCTGTTGAGAGCCACGTGTTCAAAGCCATCAATCTGCTGAATCTCTCAGCTCCTCTTCGGATTGGCGGTATAGGGCCACTGATAAACACCTCAGCATTCAGAGAGCTGACCGTGTTCAACAGATTATTAAAGTCCTCTTTCAACACTTCAGACTGTTTCACAACATCACTGGTCCCGATGTGCAGTATGATGTTTTTCACAACAGGATGTTCAGCCACGATATGCAGGATTCTTTCTGCCAAGTCAGACACCGTATCCTTCGGAAAGCAGAGTACTTTGGTGTTCTTACTGCACATGCTTCTTACATCGTTTACAGCAGCGTCACCCACAATCAGAGTTTGAGGCCCAGTCGTTAGCTTTCCCTGCAGCCTTTTACTTTCTGATTTGCTCTCAGTCCTTACCCTTCTGTGTGAGGACGGGATGTTATCCAGGTCATCAGACAGAGATCCAGGTTCCTGCAGTAGTGGTGAAAATCTGTTCTGCTGTTGCACACTCGGTTGTTGGGGAGGTTTGATGCTAACTCTCCCTTTCGCAGCTGTCCACAGCTGTGTCCTACCAAGAACAGGGGTTGAAGAGGCGTTCTGCCTGGATGATAATGCCGGCCAGCCAGTCGCATCACAAATCTCAGGGCGCTGGGTTCTGCCTGTTACTGGTTCTCTCGAGTTCCAGGGAGGACTCCCACTTTTAGATTTATTACCCAGTACACAGGCCTCCTGCTTCTTGGTAGCCTTGTTGGTGCTAATTAGCCGTGTGTTAGCATGCTCTTGTCCACTGTTTTAGGTCCACGGTAAAGTGGTGTCATTCCCACATAATCCATTCACTTCCACATTCACTTCCAACCTGTGATCTTGGTTTCCAGCACTGCAATTTTCTGTAGAAGTTTGTAGAAGTCGTCCGTGGAGAAGGGGGGCATCTTGTTGCTAATTAGCATTAGCTATAACTCCAGTCACTGCAGTACAGGCTAGTGCTATTGATAGGCCGCACTCGCGTAGCACTAAGATCATAAAAGGTTTTAAAGTATGGCAAGAGCCAACTTTATCTGACAGTCCCAGTGATTTAAAAGTATCCAAGAGCTGCTGATTTCTAGCACGAAAAACAAAAAAGAGAGTTTAAGCAAAAGAATGCAAGGAGAGGCAAGAGCAAGCAGCGTCTGCACTGTAAGAAAGCAGGAAGGAGTCACTTCCCTAAACCCATTAAAGATCAGGACAGAGCCGCTAACATAGACTGTATAAAAGAAGTGGACGTAGCCACCATGATGTCACCCACTGGTCTGTGGACTGGCGTTTTGAAGGCGTACATTTTTTCAAGGGTTAGGGTTAGCCAATCACAGGCAGAGTAAGGGGGCAGGACTTAACACAAAGTTTGTGTCCATCAGGTGAGAGTTGTTCAAAATCTGGTGAAAAAAAACAACAACAACAAATTTCCAAACCTCGAGACGTACCGATTGGTTGTCACCAGTTGTTTTGGAACCAGAAGTGACCATATTTGGATGAGAGGGGGGAACTGGGGAGGGATACGCATTTCCACGCCTGACAGGTTGCCATGGTAGCAACTTGTCAATCACAACATTGTCCCGCCCTAAAGCCTCCCCTGCTTCCTGGTCTCTGTTCCTCTAAATGGGACCATAATTTACTAAATGAACATCATGCTGTGTTGAAGAAGACTTGAAACTAGCGACTGAGACCATAAACTCATCAGGAAAGTGTTTACTGAGGGAACGAATAGGGCTGCAAGGATTAGTTGACGTAATCAACGATAAAAATTTGATGACGTGAAATTTCATTGTTGACGAATCGAGTGAGGCTGTTTAAGGGAGAGATAACGAACTTCTTATTAAGAACATTTGCTCTTGGAAATCTATTGTGTAATAGATAAAACATGTCATGGAGCATTACAACATGAGACAAGATTGGCACGATTTTCAAAATAAAACATCCTGTGCAGACTCCTGATCGTGTATCAACAATAAACAGAGTTAAAACAGACAATTTATCTGCGTAGCCTACTTAACCATGGAGAATCATTAAAGCTTTGTGAGCGGCAGAATAAGCATCATGGACCTATGACCTTTGCCCCTCTTTCAGCCTGCTCTGTCATTTGTGACTGTAGCCTGTGCACAAAGTGTTTCTTCCTTTAATCTCAGGTCATGCAGTGTAATCACCTTTAATAAGTAACTAGAACAGAAAAACTGTTTGTGTGGAAAGAACATAGATAATCCTTGCTTTGTTCTGTTCAAGCTTTCCTTTGGAGACATAATTAGTGGACACAATACTGCTATTGTTTCATAAGTAAAGCCTTTATGTACAAGGCTTCGTCTCGGAGGTCCTAAGATGACTTTGCTTTCAAGGTGCTTAAACTGTTAAATGAATTAACATTAACAATCCACAGCTACTGTATTTTCTTATAAACATAGATAAAAACACACTTTTCAAAACAGGCTGGTGATGGAGCAGTGGATAAGACACATGCCTCTGGTGTGACAGACTCGGCTTCAAATCCACTGTGAGACACCAATGTGTCCCTGAGCAAGACACTCAACCCCTCGTTGCTCCAGAGGCGTGCGACCTCTGACATGTATAGCAATTGTAATTCGCTTTAGATAAAAGCGTCCGCTAAATTAATAAATGTAAATTTACTGAAAAGTGCTTAACAAATAAACATATTATTATTAATATTGTTCATATGTGTGTTAGCTTGGTCTGATTGTTGAGGCTGGATATGTCAATTCAATAAAAGCTGGATTCGAATGTATCTGTACCAACAAGTTGTTCAGCCTAAACCTACAAACGACGATTTAGTTAGCTGGATCGTGGTCTAGCCCCATGTATGGTACATTCAACTCACAGAGCTAAGTGTCTGATTTTCTAAAAAAACAAATATGTTGTTAAACTTTGCTTTCCGCTGTTTTGAAGATATGAGATCTGAATTCTCAAAGACTCTCTAAACATCTGGGTGACAAAATATTCCATCTCTTGCATTATTAAAAAGATTTAAAACAATTTCCAAAGTTGGGCCTCTCTATCCTAATACAAGTAAGACGGCCAGTTAAAATACAAGTAAATCATATGACATAATGGAGATATGTGAAATGGGACACCCTGATGAGCTCTCCGAAGCTTGAGAAAAGGGGGCCAGACAATAAGCAGATAGTATTTAATATATAAATTTACTAACACGTCTACATTTGTGCACATATTATACTGTAACAACCCACCTCAGACTAAGCAATGACCCTAAGACACTAAAAGCTAAAACAACTTAAACTGAAACCAACAACATATATATATATATATATATAAATATATACAAGTTTACGTCTGCCCTTTCTAAGAGCTTTTTTCTGGTCTTGTATTTATTGCAGGGAAAGTAAATCAGAATACAGTCATTTACTTTGGACCATGATATGGCACGTATGACTTTCTTCTGTAAAATCTTCAGTTTCAAAACAGCATCAGGATGCTTACAGTAGAAACGTTTCTGATCCTCTGAGGCTGTTCTGTGGTTTCTGCTTTTGTGTCTGAGGAAAAAACAACATCTGATCTTTATTCATTGACAGAAGTAGAAGCAGAAGAGAGTCAGGCTGATTTCTCAGAAAAAGTGTGACCTGTAGACCGAAGCAAGGACGACATTTTGGTGGGCAGGGGCTGCAGGCATAATTCTATACATTTCTTTAAATACTTTTACTTTTTGTTTCACAAGCAAGATTCCAAATGAGTAGCCAACAGCTTCACACAACCAAGCAACAGAATACTGAATTGCCTGAATACATTAATGTATTGATCAAATATATTATGATTGTTGCTATTATATAACACTTATCCACTGTTCCATCACCACCCCTCATGACCAATAATACATTTTACTTTTGATACTTAAATGTTTTAAATGCAGCTACTTACTTTGACAGTTTCTGCATTTAGTCTTTCTAGGGCAGTAGTGTCAGAGAGAAACAGAGAAACTGTGCTTGACTGCAGCTCTGCAGTCTGACAGACAAACTTTCAAACACGTTTTCACTGAGGAATGTGTTCAGTGTTTCTGCACCTTTCAGTGTCCAGACACTTCACCAATGGTGGGCCTGTTGTTTGCAAATGGGTTTTCTTCTTATTTTAATTACTTGTTGCTCAGTTTATTTCAGACATAAACAACAGTTGTTTTTTTTATCTTAAACAGACAAACGCTCCTTTAAAGCATATTTTCAACTCATTAAAATCAGTCACTAAATACAAATCAAAGTAACAGGAAACAGGTCGAAGAAAGCGGATTAACCATCTTAAACTAAGGCTCACTGTGACTTCAGTCACTTTGGTTTGGTTTTTATCTGTTATATTGTTTCTATATTATCTATAAATGTTGTTTAATTAAAAATGACACATTTTTATCTGGTGTAATATTTTTAGATGTAACAAAGTCAGATTCTAGTTTTTATTGAATTTGTACTCACCGGTGTTTGTCAGAGATTCTGATGTTTTGTTGAGGAAAACCTGTTGATTCAGTTGAATTTTCAAACAGAGAGAAACAGAGAGACTCGACTCGACTGCAGCTCTGCAGTCTCTCAGACTAACTTTCACTTTCATTGAGGAATGTGATTTTTCCTCTTTCAGTGTTGCTCCACCTCTCAGTGTTCAGACACGTTACCAAAGGGGGGGAAATAAAAAAAAACACTGAGCCTTATTACTGATTGTTGTATCCACTCCACAACTGCAGGAAGGAGAGCTGCAACCGTCCCCCTGGGGCCTCAAACAGACACTGAATTTTGTGAGAGGCCACAAGTCAAAAAAGTTGGATTTGGTTTAATCTTTAAAAATATGTTTTTATATATCTTCTCAATCTGTAAAGTAAATTGTAACTAAAGCTAAAAACTACACACAAAGTAACATAAAATGGAAAAAAAGTAAAGTAAAAGGACCTCAAAACTGTACTTCAGTGCAGTAAATGTACTTAGTTACTTCCCAGCACTGCTGCATGATGGATAAAGTGGATGTCAGCAGTGTAACATCTGACCTGAAAGAGAAAACGAAGCTGCAGAAGGTAAAGAAGGCGACTCTGACACATCAGAGGACGACAGACAACACTTCGAATAATAACATTTATTTATTTATACACATACTCTGGTCCAGAGGAAAGGATAACTCAGGGATTTAATGCAGGAGATAACTGTGGAGTCTACGAGAAAGCTGTTCTCAGCCTTGATACCTTAATACTATGATAGTTCTCACAGGAACAGTAGGCAGAAGATAAAACTATCTCACAGATGTTCATTATAGCTGAAACACTGGTACACATAGTGGACAGTAAGATGAATATAAGTACACAAAGTAAATGATACATATCAGAATGCAGAAAGGTCAAATGGTGGCAGGAAGTTGTCCAGTTAATGCTTCCAGCACACTCAAACATTTATCAGCACACACGGTAAATCTGTGATTTCCTGCAGATAACTCCTGCTGGAATACGTTTGTACAAACAAGTTAGCAGTTTCTCTCTTTATGTCGAACACATTTCTACTTTTGTTGGTCAGAATAACTGAAGTGTCGGTGTCTCAGTATGGAGACTCTGTCTCAGTACATCACTCTCTGTCCTGTTTGGTTCTTTTTTATCTGTGTCACAAAAATCTTCCTGATCACTATGGAAGCTGGAGAAGTTCCACTCCTGTGTTAGCCATGTACTCAGCTTTTGGGGTCCGTAGGGTCCCTTAGCTTGGGAACTGGAGGGATGCTGTTTGAAGTCCAGTATGAAGTCAGTACGGAGTGTGGACTGGTAGCTGGAGAGGAGTGAAACATTTCCCCAGCAGGGCAGAAAGGTTCACTGTGTAAGTTTTAGTGGCATCTAGTGGTGAGGGTTGTGAATTGCAACCAACGGCTTAGTCACCGCTCACCCCTCCCTTTGTAAGCTCAAAGGAGGAGCTACAGTGGTGACAAGCTCTGTCGGCTCGTGTGCTAAATAATACATGCGGTGTTCCATTTGTCCAAATAATACTACTACTACCACTACTATTCAATTTTGTTACGTCCCAGCTCACCAGGGGAAAGGGGACGTATGCATAAACCAGATGCACTTGGTATGGTGGAAAAGTTTAAGGTTTTAACAAACTAAAGTTGGGCAAGTGGGTGCTGTGATAACATAAACTCAAGATAACAAAAAGAGATCCCTCCAAAACAGGGATTACTAACTCAAAAAGTACTTACTCTAAAACCTAGCCCAACTCTGCAGACACACGGTTAAACACAAACTAACTCAAGGGTGTCTCTTAACAAAAATAAACACAACAACATAAACACTTACTGACTCTCAGTAGTGAAATAAACTGCTGCAACAGAGTCTTTAGCTAAACAGCTAACACAAAGACTACTCTCAACAAAATAAATACTGACTCTCAGTAATAACAGTAACAAACACAAACAGGCCACAGAAGTGAAGCTGCTGCAACCAGCAAACAATATACATACTAACGGTTCCTCACCGAAACCAGCCAATCCTCAGCCGGGGATTGCACAACCTGCTTAGCATACTGGGAAAACACATGGACAGCAACCAAAACACACGGCTGCTACCAGCGGCTCTAACAATTTCAGTTCAATTTTATTTACATAGCGCCAAATCACAACAACAGTTATCTCTGAGCGCTTTACTACTACTACAACTATTACTTCTTCTTCTTCCTTCTTCTTTGTATGTATTAAACAAAGTGACGAAACACGCTCCGTAGAGCCGTTTGTCTGTTCAGGCTACTGTAGAAACAAGACAGCGTCCATGTAAGAGGACCCGCTGTGTCTGTAGATAGAAATGTCTCATTCTAAGGTAATAAAAACATAACGGTTCTTTATGTAAGGTCTTTATACACCACTGAAAACATAGTTATGGATATTATATTGCATTTCTGTCAATAAATCCTCCTAAATCCAAACATTATCATCTTCTTCTTCAACAAGAGGATTGCACCAACATCAAGTTCTTTATCATGTACTTTCTCTGATAAAAAGAAACATGATGTCACCATCTTCACGGTACTGACATAATCATCTTCTTCATCATTATCTTCTTCAACAAGAAGATTCCACTAACATCAAGTTCTTCATCTTGTGCATTCTCTAATAGAAATAAACATGATGTCACCATATTCAAGATGCTGACATCATCATCATTTTATAAATATCTTCTTCATTATTAATATTTTCATCTTCTTCATCATTATCTTCTTCATTATTAACATCATCTTCATCATCATTATCATCGTCGTCTTGTTCTTTCACTCCACTCACTACTTTCAGGATCTGAACTCGTTGCTTCCAGCCTGGCTTGGCCTCCGATTTCTCCCTCTCAATCAGCTTGTCGATGTACTCTGGAGTGCACGGAGGATCTGGTTTCAGTGCTATCTCTTTAAGTCTGTTTAAACACTTTGCAGTGCTGTCTATCAGATTCCGTACATCAGCAAGCACAAGTGCACATTCATACCCTACTTCTAAAAGAGATTCCCAAAAGCCCTTGTTTTTCTTCAGGCTTGCCTCTTGATTCTTCTCAGGTTTGTTTAAACCAAGTTTGAACTGCTTCAGCAAGTTTTCAACTGAATTTTTGAGCTGCTGTCTTTCTCTGAGGACCTCCTTCGTCATCGTCAAGCTTTTGGTTTCTATTTGATTCAAAGCAGCAAAGAACCTCTTCATGCTTTTTGTCCCCATGTTCCAACACATCTGATCAAAGCCTCCATCTTCATCCTCATCATCCCCACTCATGCTGCCTGCTGCAGATGATTTGTTGTCTGCAAACAAAGCTGAGTTATTGAATTTGAAGTGAACTGGCAGCCCGTCTCTTGTTTTAGGACATGGGACACCTGAAGCATTGATTGCCTCTAGAACTGGTGGACGCTGGCCGTCTGCGAATGTCACCAGAACCCTGATGTTTTCTGCCACATCTTTGCCAAAGATTGAGAGTATGGAGTCAAACACATATTTCTGTGTTGGCGTGAGTTGAGCTAAAGAAGCCTGAGCTACAAAACACACAGCGTCAATTTCACTGACACCAAGCTCAGCAGAGAAGAGATTACACAGCTGTTCTGTGAGGCTCTCATCTCTTATTAAGCCTCTTGTATCTCCAAACTCTGGAGTGTCAACAATGGTCAGAGAGTATTCTGTTTTAAAACCCTCCTGGTGGTTGATTTTGTACACAGTGACTTCAGAGGTCTGACTTTCAGCCTGTGACGTCGACTGACCCTCATCAATTAACTTAAACCGATATGAATCCTCCCATTCGACACCTAGAATGTAGTTGATCAGTCCATTGATCAGAGTCGCCTTTCCAGATCCGGTCGCTCCAAAAAACATTATTGTGCGATTTTTCCTCGTGCTTTCTTTTCCAAAACTGTATCTTCTACATCCATCAATGTCCGTATCTTCTTCTTTCAGAGGCAGTTTGTAAACTGAAGGTGATTCAGAATTTATCCTTTCACTTCTACTTTTGAGGAGTTCTGTGAGACGTTTAAATGTCGTTGTGCAGACATTAACAGAGATGCTCTCCTTGCTTCTTCCAGCTGCACCACAGTCACATCTGACCCTGACAACATATTCTGTCTCTGGCTGAAGCCCTGAAATGATCGCCTTTTCAGCTCTCGACATCATTTGCTTCCATTGGAGATCTTCCTCTTTCACCCTGTTGTCTGTTTTGGCGTACTCCACGATGTAGCTCAAAATCTGGACATCTTGTCCAAGCTCAGCAGGTTTCTCCCAGCTGACTGAGATCTCACTTGAGTTTGGTTCAACTTGAGGTTTTCCAGGAGGGCTGCAAGGTAAGGTTTTAATGGAACCACTGGCTTCATTGGCCGGCCCAACACCTGCTGAGGTCACTGCTCTGCATCTGAACATATACTCTGTGTTAGGACTCAGATGGCTCACTGTGACTCTCCAGCTTTTGATGCTGTCTCTTGTTGCCATCCATCCTCTCCTCTGACACAGTACTCTACAGAGTAGGAGGTGATGTTCTCTGCTCCAAATCTGGGTGCAGAAATCTTCAGTGTCACACTGTTGTGCTTTATGTCACTTGCTGTTACTGTTTCAGGCTTTGAAGGCGGCTCGAAGTTCTCATTGACAGAAAAGCCGTCTTCATAAAGGTAGATGCTTGAACCTTTCTGTGTCTCATTTGTTAATCCCACTGTCAGGAACTTTATGTTCTTGTTCTCCTTGTTGGCCTCTGCAAAGTCACTGAAGAGCTTTGCTTTATTCCTCATTGCATCTGTTATTTCTTTTGAGGTGAACCATTGTTCCTTCTCTACATCTTGAGGGTTGTCTGGTTCGGCTGTTTGTTTTAAGTAGTTAGATAAAGCTGAGAGGTACGGTTCAGCACTTCCCAGGGAGGTGAAAACAAAACACACAGCATGCTCTGCACTGAGGGTTTCCCTGTACAGGTGTGTTTGAGACGGGATGATCTTGGTGTTTTTCATCATGTTGGTTAAAGACATTAAGGTGTAGACTTCTCTCTCTTTACAGTCCAACCACTCGTTCAGGTCTTTGCTGTTGAAAGGAGAAGAATGTCTCTTCTTC